AGGGGCAGGGTGTCATGACTTTATTACTGGAGCATCTGGAAAGGCTCCATATATGCTGGGTGTCGTGCAGACGGTCTCTTTGGGAGCTGGATGTGTGCCTGTCCTGCTTTCTGTAGGCCCGAGGGGGGCCCAGAAGGGGGAACCGCGGTGCCCTGCCTTGGTCAGATGTGCAGCAGCAGATGGCTGGTGCAGAGAGTGCTGCAGCCCAGCCCCTGGCCCGGGCTGGGAGAGCTCGAGACTTTCCTCCCTGGGACAGGCAGAGGCACAAAGCCTGACTTGGGATGGGGGGAAAGCAGGGCTAGGAGAGCAGCCACGGGAGCTGTTATCATGGCAGTCCTTTCCAGCTTCGCTTGGCAAAGGCTGGAGAAATCCCTCTCCTCTTGGCTGCCGCGCTGCCCCAGCCGCTGTGCAGTTCCCTCGCGTCTTCCCGTTGAGAACGACGCTTTCGCCCTCTTCCTTGTTCCCTGATGGGGGATGCTCTCTGAGTTGCAGGAGGTGGCGAGGCCAAGGAGATGGAGGTGGAGATGGAGCCTGGACGATCACTGAGGGTAGAGGGTGCCCCCTCCTCTGGGCCAGGTGCCGAGACCAAGGACATGAAGGGGAAGCCGGAAGAGATGCTCATGCAGGGCTCCAGGGCTCAGACCAGTGGCTCCAAGAAGAAAGTGAGTACAGCCGAATGCAACGGGCCGGACTTGACACAATTCCCCAAACGCCCCGGACTGGGTAGGGCTCTCATGCCAGGTGCCGAGCAGCGAGCTCCTCGGCTCTTTCCCGATGAGACCTTCTCATCAGGAGCACGACACGGACAGCCCTGTTGCTAAAGCTTTTTGCTGACGCTCTGCAGCTGTTAGCCCCCCGCACCAGGAAATCCTCTCTCTCGGCCAACGCCGTGCATTTTGTAGCCGGCGGCACCTCCATGCAGCTGACACTGGATTACGCAGCTACCCCAGCAACACCTTTCCCACAAGAAGGGAAATAAGAAATGTTCCAGATTAAAAATCAACCTGAGCAGAATGAATATCTGCTGGGTTCATGCTGCTGGGTTGGTGACGTGCTCTTATCACCCTGCTGAAAACGTGAAGTCTTGTGGACTGCAGACGTTGCAGGGCTTCTCCGACTACCTGACCCTGAGGTCCCCTCCCCCCTTTTTTTCTCACTGATCTTATGATCCACAAAATAACCTCTGCATTGCAGCTTGAGAGAGGATTTCACAAGCTGTTCCAGGGTGCCCCTGTCCTTTAACGATGGACATGAAAATAACAGCTTTACTAAGAATCGCGAGGCTCTGTTGACATTCCCCACAGCTGCTTTTTTGGTTTTCTTTTGAAGGATAACTCAGTAATTTCCACTTCCTAACTCTGGTCTGTGTGCGAGTGAAGCCCTTTTTCAACAGGCAGTACAAGGTGTGAATGAGGTAGAGGCTACCAGCCCTCCTGCCAGAAAGAGGAGAAAGGCGAGCCTGGATTCTCCTGAAGGCCGCAGCCCATCTCTCGCAAGCCCACGGCAGGTAGTTCTCTTGGTACTTCTTGTATCTGGAGGAGTCAACACCAGTGCCTTGCCCCGAAGCCCTGTTTACCAGCACGAGGGCTTTTTCTGGGTTGACCTGGAAGTGAGCAGGGCAGGCCTGGGCTGAAGCCTGCTGTCAGCAGGATGAGACCTGCCCCACAGGGGTCTGGAGAGCAAGCAAGATCTGGATAGGTTACAGGAGTGGGCTAACATAA